AAAACCGTCCCTGAACGTGCGCTTTAACAGCGATGTTCGGGCTCGAAAGCGTCGATCAATTATTACCTGGCCAATCCAAAGTCCAGAAGTTTGACGACAAACTCTTTTGATTCATCCCAATATTGCGTGGGGTAATGTCCTAAAAGTAAATGAAATCTTGTTGCGATATCCCCTCGGTTTTGTATGGCTTGCAATGATGTATAATTCCGTTGCTATGAAGAAAATCGAGCGCTCGCAATAGTTGTGCCAGCATTGCAGCAATGTGTCGGATGTCTCGTTTAACCGGCTGATCATCGGTGTCTTTTTCCGCAAGTGCCTGCAACGTAAAGTTCGGCAGCCGGAATAAAAACAACTCGAAGTATTTTTCCAGCGTGTGATCCATGCGCTCCGTAATGATACAAGAAAAACTTGGTCGGTCCAGTGGGAGGCTCCGGCCAGGTTCCGTAGAATTTGACAATCTGGAAAACTGCTTCATTTGGTTTTGCTTCTCCTCTTCCTTGCATTTTTACGTTAAGGTTTTAATCCTACATCGTGTATTGACGTTTGTTACGACCGAAAACTCCGCGTCCTTAAACGAGTGGTGCGAGGTTTCTGGTGTTTCGCTTATAAATAGCAAGAGATTGAATCTTAATAGCAATTTTCGGAATTTTGAGGGGAATGCATTTCAAGTTTCCCCCGAACGCACAGTTTTTAGGTGTCATTTTTATGGGTACGTCACCGAACATCGAAAAATCAAGTTTCTCCAAATCGGAGTTCCCGACGCTTTTATACATTCTTGGTAACGCATGGTGAAATATTCTTCTATCAAAAAGTTGCTCGAGCCCAAAGCCCGGAAGAATTTTTTTGGGGCACCCTACGTTTTCGTGTTGCATGAAGGGCGCGATGTCCACTTCACGCTTCACTCGCCGATATCCATCGACGGTTGATGAGAGCCGTTCAATCGAATACCTTAAGTCCATCAATTTGCTACCTTAGCAAAATATCAAATCGAAGCGTTTAAATGCCACTGTATCGACCTACCGTCTTATTGCCACAGATACATCGCCGGCATCTGTTCCTTTCCGTGACATCTTAGCGGCTCTTTAAGACAATATCTCCCACAAAATCTTTACTTCCTTACATAATATCAGCGTAAGTTCCCCTAGCTATCACGTGAAATTCATCATTGAGGTTCTTCGGCCGGAAAAACTTGTCGTCCTGACAAAGATATTGGCAAGATTTTGATTTCACCTTGTCCGGTTTAAGCGAAGGTAGGACTAGAATCGGGAACACATCGAGAACGTTGGTGGCATCGTTCAAGTTCGGCCTGCGGAACATGGCTCTGCTCTCATAGTACTGATTTGCTACAGGCCTTTTGCGTTGTTCATGCATGGAAAGTCGCTCAAATTTCGCCACGAAGCTCATCCACTATAATGATGAGAGTAGCACGAAAACATTTAAAATCCGGCGACCTTGCTGATGGTGAACGAACACAAAAATGGACAACCCGCCAGCGAAATAGCCTAGTAATAAAAGAAATATGTTTTTGGCGCACGCTTCAGCTCGAGGATGCTACAGGGTCCCCCAAAAAAATCCCCCGCCCCAAGCGGTCCCAGGAACGTGAACGGGATGATTTTTAGTGTTCGATAGATACGTAAATCGTCAAAATCGGACGTTGTTGCTGCCCGCTTTGGGTAGATTTTTTGGCGCACTAACAAGGAGACGTTTTTTTAGCTCAACGGAGTTTCGATTCGGGACCAAGTGCATCTTATGCAGCATTTTTGCTGATCAAAACGTTTGTTTTAGAATCTGCGAAACAATCATATTTCAAAAGTTATGAAGCTTTAAAGTGTGAAAAATGCCCAAAATGCCCAACTTTTGCCGTTTTTCGCCTTTTGAAGCGTCATAACTTTCTTATTTTGGTCGTTTCGCAGATTCGGAAAACGAGGTTTTAATTAGCGCAAAATTCTGCATAAAATAGGCTTGGTCCCTTTTCGAAATTCCGTGGACACTAAAAAAACGTCTCCTTGTAAGCTTAGGCCTAAGCTGCACAAGCGAGGCTTTATAACTTGCGTTATTATTGCATGGCATAATTTTTTTCTTTTCAACATATATACTTGCGTAGGTGGTTTTTCGACAGGTATAAGCCATTACTCAGGTGTTGTTATCGGGTGCATGCTCCGGGGCCATCTTCCCGAGAACCGCACCGGTACGCATATAGGAGTATTGTGTGAAGATTGATTGAACAGAGCTATCTTACGACAAAAAAAACCTGAGAAAACCTGATCGCACGAGAATGCCTGGCGCAAGGCATCAAATAGGGGCAAGTAAGATAAGACGGTGGCCCACCCATCTACAGGGCGTAGCCGGAAAATTCCGGGGGCGAAAAAAACTCAAAATAACACGAAAATAGGCTAGGCTGGCGTAGATCATTTGAGAATCAGGTTTTACTTGCAAAAATTTGCTTCGGATAATTGAGCAGGCAAGTACCGAGACACTCGGAGAAATTCACTTAATTGCACAGAAAATCTGACCAATTCCTATGCAAAGGCAGCAGAGTTGCTTCAGGAATTTTATCCCCATTCTCAGGTCTCAAAGACGTGCGTGGGCCATGTGGTTCAACTCCTCTACCGTGCCTCATGTTTCAACGTCATCAAGAGGGACGGAGAGAGCTCGCTGATGCAGCTGAAAGAGGAATTCAGGTAAATTGGCAGGCAGTTAGGCTATTCCAGCCCTTTTAGAAGCTACGAGGCACTCCGCCGGGAGCATGATGCCCAGATCGTTGGTATGGCAGTGGAGGCAGGGTTGAGGATTAGTCCTGATCAATGGAGTGCTTTACTTTATGGAGATCCCGATCATCGGGCGCATATGCAGAGTATTATTGGTCAGTTAAAAAAAAGAAATTTGACTTTTAAAGGGGGGGGGAGGTTGGAAACTTAGACAAAGAAACTTAAATACATGTCTGACTACATTTTAATTTTTTTCTTAGGGATTATCATGAACCGAATTATCTTCCTGCTAATATTCATTATTTTTGTATCCAGCTTACAGTTTCCCAAGATATCTTCGTAAAACCCCTAATATACCGATTTAAAGGGATATTTAAAAGCCAACCATACCTGGGTTTTCTGTCAGCCAATAAACACTATCCGCTTTCCAGACAAACTCCAATCCCCCCAATCATTTCTCCAATCCATCGAAGAACTACGCGTCAAGCCAAAAGCCGTCCCCGATCGGCATAAGCCCTTTCTTTTCCCGGTTCTACACCTTTTCGAGGCATTGAGAGGTCAGTTTTTAGCTTAAATTAAATGCATTAATCGGTATTGGGTAAAAGATAGTTTTAAAAGTATTAAAAATTGTTGAAATCGCAGTTTTTGTATTTTTAAATTTCTTTGGAAGATTTGATCTAATTTTACCAAAAATGCACCAAAAACAATCGATATTTTCAGATGATCATAGTTGGGATGAGACGGCACTCTACATTGATAAAGCCCGAGAATTGCTGGATATCCATATCGAAATCTCGGTTTATTATAGGGGCTATTAGGCAGAGAAACTTTATTTCGATATTTTAAGTTTTATTTTTGTTTTCTGCTTATTTTTAAAGTTGTTATTCGGTTAAGCCATCAACTGTCCTAAAATTTACTATAATCCGGATTTTTGGCCGTTAAAAAACCAAAAGCGTTGTTCTCTTATTCGATTACGCCATCAAAATCTCCAAATATCTTAACTGGTATCCGCTTAATTTATTTAACTTGTTAACTTATTTTCTGTGATCCAAATGACAGTTTTCCAAGATATCTTTCACCAAAAACCCCCACGTGACGATTCGATTTGCATTTTAGTGCTATGATTTTCGACCCCCAATTCTAGTCCCAACATATCGATCATTCATTCTATTGTGATATTTTCCGAAATACAAAGCGCAACGATAAATTGTTATTTATTAAAAGCCGAACTAGCAAATTTCCGTTTTATTTTGCCGGTTTCACTGGCCGCTTCAGCAACTCGGTTTTGCCCCTGAAATCGATTACGCCATGAAATTGTCAAAAACTCAATCCAAAAAATTGCGATAATTTTCATTTAATAACGATCGTAAGTTGTAGATTACCGGTCAGCTAAGCGTAAAACACGAGTATTTCTGCAAAAGCTACGCCAGGCTACAAATCACAGGCGCCAAGGCAAAACGCAAACGCATTGAACGGGCAACATTTTGGAATTTTGATAATGTTAATGTTATAACCATCATAAATGGTATATTACAGGTCAATTAAGCATAAAACGGAAAAGATTTTGGTCAAAGCACACTAGACTACAAACTACAACCTTTTCAAAGGAAAACTTACTGCACCGGGTAGCAGACCTGCCATTTTGTCATCGGCCGACACCATTTTGGCTCGCATGAATGCCACGCCTAAAAATCAGCTTTTTAAGCCGTTTCCGGTAGATAGAAATTTACAGAAATAATTACGGTATTTGAATTTATTCTTGATTTTAATCCAAAACCGACCGGAATTTCCTTATTCCCCTGCAGGACAAGATCGCCCAAGTAATAGAAATAATCAGCGTTCGGCGCTTCTTCCGGGATTAATTGCATGCATTCTGTGCGGAATTCCTTGAAAATTACGGTAGAAAAATAAATATGACAATTACAACGCCACATCCATGGTAAATCCGCAAATAGGGCTCGAGTCGAGGGTTTGTGCCAATATCTAAAAATTGTAGTTTGCCGTTTACGGAGTTTTTAGCGGCTGAAACTGTAGTTTGTAGTCCAGATCGACGATTCTGAAACGTAATTTAATGCCAATCTGGTCTGCGCGGTCATAGAAATTTTTCGGATCTTGTAGTTTTTTTAAAAGGCTAATTGGTAGTTTGTAGCCCATCGTAGCCTCTAATGGAAAATATTTTTGTAGTTTGTAGCTTTAGGACATTCAAAGGAACAGAGTTGCAGTTCACAGTCAAGTTCCATAATTCATAGTTATTTTAAACGGAAATCAAATAAAAAAGCTGCAATTCGTAGTTTTGGAATTTTCAAAGTTGGAAATTCTAGTTTGTAGTCCAGATAAAGAAACTAAGCAGTAGTTTTAAGATTTTTTGGTGATCTGCCACACAATAAACCTACCAAAAGCCTCGCCCGACACTCGAAACGCTTTCCGCTTTCCCGGCTCATTTTCCAGGTGAGCGATCGTGTCACCCATAAAATCGGGAGGCAGTACTGTAATCAACAATTATTTTTGTAAATTAAAATACCGAGAAAAGACCAAAAAAGTACAAATTCTTACACCCATCAAAATCGTTCAGCTCAATATACGCATCTCCCACCACATAACTGCTATTGCACAATATCCGCCCGGCTACCGTAATCTGGAATAATGCGGAATTCCGAATTTTAGCGTATGAAATATTGTTTATTGTGTGTCAGTTTAATAAAAAATAGTATTGAAATAGCTATGTTTTTGCATAATTTTTAAAAACAGCGATCGAAACGGTTTTTTGTCGATTTGCCGGCCAATGTCAGAGCTTCCCAATTTACCGTTTTTGATTGTATGATTATAAATAATTTTTGATGAAATTTGGTTAACTGGATGGCAGTTTGATAAAAAATAACGCTTCAAAAGATATTTCTCCTGTATCATTCTTACAAATAGATTTGATCGATTTTTTTGCCTATTTTCCGGTGAATTGTCTGTCAGTTTTCAGTTGCCCGTGTTGACCTACTTTATCTGCATTAGCGAGAAGCGGAAGAATCAAGAAAAATATTGATAGGAAAATGACATGAAATTGGGTCATTTATATAGCGTAATGAATTATTTTAAGAAATGCAATGTTTAGAAAATCTAGAAATAAGTTCGGGCAGTTGTCTGGCTAGCCACGGTTTTTGTTGCTAGGTTGATTGTGGATGGGAGAGAGAGAGAGAGACAGAGTGAGAAAGAGAGAGAGAGAGAGAGAGAGAGAGAGAGAGAGAGAAGGAGAGAATGAGAGGACGAGAACGATAGTCTGATATCAATTCGGGAAATCCCCATCCCTTTATCTGCTCCATCCGCCCCCCGTTTTCCCATTTTGGAAAATCGGAGATCGAACTCAAGAATTTTTTCTCGCCTGGGAACGCCACAACTGTACCCCAATGAGCCAATCAGCTGAACAACGTTTTGATTTTTGGCGCGTTTTTGGTTAAGCGCTTTAATTTAAATTTTTATAATTCTACATAAGTTTAACTTCCATTAATATGCTTAAAATCGTATTTTTTATTATTTTTTGGTGTGGTTCGTATTCATATACAAACGATATTTTAGACGTAAGAGCTTTGAAAATGCAGGTTTCCCTAAAGACTTAAAAAAGAAAATTATTGCGTAGCTTCAAGTATCACATTTTTCATCAGCAAATATAAAAGCATAACTAAATAAACACACATAACAATTGTTAAAAGATATTACAGGTATTTAGCGAAATTGAAGCATCATTAACTTCATGGTGGTCCAAAACTCAAGCAAAAATTATACAGCACAGGAGATCGTATTATTGTATTATGCAACTTTTGTCTAATCTTCCGGGTAGCAAATGATTGTCATGGCAATTAAAACAAATCCAGCAATAGTGGCGCCGAGTTGGGCAATTCTCGAGACATCTTTTTGGTGCTCCGGCACCAGAAGCTAAAACGGATTTTATTGAATTGTTTAGCTGACAACCACGCGCGAATCCTTTTTTGGGTTCCCACGTCGCGACACGCACCGCATGCAAACGCATTTTCATTGGGTAATGAATTAGGCTATTTTCATAGTAAAAAAGCAGCAAGCGCGTAGCGAATGTCGTTGCATGTCGCGCTACGCATCGCGTCTCGTATAGCGTTTCGTATGGCGTATCGCGTAGTACGCGTTGCGTGTAGCGCTAGGTATCGAGGTGCGTATCGCGTTGCATGTCGCGCTAGGTATCGAGGTGCGCATCGCGTTGCGTGTCCAACTGCCTATCACTATGCGTGTTGACTGCGTTGCGTGCCGTGGACACGGAAAAAAGCTATTGCTAACCGATTAAATTTACAAAAATCCACGAAATACAAGACACGACATTACACGACAAAAATTAAAAAAAAAATAGATCCTAAAATCTACCTCATAAAACGAAATCTGTAGAAAAGTGCCAAGAGAAAGGCAGGAAAGTATCAATATTAGCGCCTCTTTAGCATTTGATTCGGTCCCTTGCGAGCCCTGAAACGCGTCCGTTCCGGTAAATTTTATATTAATTTTATTCAACCTGCACGAGTAGCCCGGCAAATCCGCCCAACGGCGCCATTACTGCCATCCAGCATACCATTAATGCGGGGAGGAGAACGATTCGGTGAGCAGAGGACAGGCGGAAACCTGAGATTTGCAAAAAGCTCATTTTTGTGGTGAAAAAATAGACTGCCAGCCAATAAAAGCTATGCCGGCCAATCATCAATGTTTTTTAGAAAATTTAAATTATTGCAAAAAGTTACCGGCAGCAAAGAAAACGGCCGCCTTGTGGACCATGATGCCGAAAAATAAGGCAACGACAGATTTTACCGATGTCTAAAGGAGGCATTAAGAAAAACAATAAAATTCACATGCCTTTCAAGGCAACATTTATAAAAAGAGGGAGTTTTACCTGCACACCAAAAGCGAACCCTTCTAGCAGACTGTGGATAGAGAGGGCGAAAACCAGGGCCAGACTCCGGGACAGACCTTGCGCCTCGTTTTTGTTTAACTACAACCGTATGTTAATTCAGCTTCTAAAATCCCACCTTACATAATTTTGGAGTATATCTCTGTGTATGTGTGTGTGGATGTCATTTTCGAGGCCCAATTTGAGGGCCTTCCCGTGTCCAGGACGGCCCAATACTTCGTCACTTGGGGGAGTCGACCCTCCTCTTACCGATGACGTCTTCAGAATTTCGATAAAATGCAAGTTTACAAAGTTCAAGCCGCTTATGTTCATTTTTGGGGGTCCAGGAGGGCTTATTTGCATAACGTGAAAAAAATACAAATCCTCATTCTTGCCAGTTGCACTCGCGAGGTCGGCCAGGGTGGGGGGTCGGTCGGTCGGCAGGACCCGAGCTATCGGAAAGTCCAATTTTTCATTCAAAAGCCGCATTCCAACGTCCAAGGCCCGCGAAGCGGGTTTTGGGCGCTGGTCTTATAATAGTTTAGCAAGCAATTTAGGGAAAATCGGAACCAAGAATTTGTTTAAAATGTTAGAAACAGATTAACAAAAGCAAAAAAATTAGCTTCCCACGATTTTCTCCTCGATTCGTCCTTCTGGGTCACAGTAAGACTTAAAAAGTATTGTTTCAAAATTGAGAATTTTAAAGGAAACTTGAAGCCGTATTAACCGTTTTTGCGGACTTTTTTAGCTCATTTTTTCCCGTCACCATTCCTTTAAGGGGCCAAAACCCGGTTAAAAACGCACCAAACTGTCGATGCTTCCGTCAGCTTTTTCCTTATTAATTTCGAGTTCTTCTTGGAAGGTCAGACCGGAAGAGACGCGAGGGAGTACTCTGAAAACAGAACCTAGCTCTTACAATCTCACCATCACTCTCTCTCTCTCTCTCTCTCTCTCTCTCTCTCTCTCTCTTACTTTGCAGGCTTAGGCGGTCCATGTGAATGTCCAGCCGTCCCAAATATCAGTTGGGTGACAAATTCGACAAATAGCACAAAGAATAGACCGACACCCATCAGAAGGCCAATCCAGTAGCTGCCGAATTTGGAGTCTTTCAAACGACCATTCACTTTATCGAGTTGCTCACTAAAAAGTCTTCCTGATTTATTCACACCAAAATTTACATAGAATTAGGAGACGCCAACTTCCACCCCCTGTTTGACTAGGTCTAGACGGCTACGTGACACGCTAAATGGCGCAACAAAACGTGCTAGAATAATTTCTTCTTTTCTGTTCGCAAATCCATCGAATGCTGTGTAATTTCGCGTTTTGCGTAGCTTTCGAGACCTAGAAACTCGTAGGGGTCGATTCTTGCCTTCCGGGTCCCTTTAATTGCGATAAAAACCTGCGAAAAAAACCTACAACGCCTCTGGCAACATATCGAGTAGACAAACAGACAAAAAGACACCACCGGCAAAACAGGTAACCAACGACATCAGCGGGGAATTTTGCATCGAAAAAGCGGGTAAGGTACGGAGCTGAAATGGGTTAAATTACGCGAAAAAGGCACTTTTTATAGTGATTTTATTTTATCGTGCTTTACACGTTTTTTCGACATTTTAACTACCGTACCTTTAGTGGGATCAGCCCAAAAATGGCCGATATGACGCCCATAGCCAGCAGGAGGCCGATTTGCAAGATTTGCGTCTCCATCCTGAAAATACCAAATTTTTGTTCGGTTTTAAGAGCGAGGTTCCATAAAATGGGTGTCAGAATAAAGCAATAAATAGCTAAAATACTGAATGTCGGCTTGAAAGTCCAGATTTTGGGGAATTTCCAGAAAAACAGATGGCGCATGGGGTGGTCAATAAACCATGGGAAAACCGTTTAGGATTCGATTTGCAGGAATCGAGGCGATTGAACCTCTTATTTCCTACGTCATGCACCGCAATATAGATATTCAAATTGCCAAAAATACTCGAGGGCATCCCCTTAAATACCTCAACATTTTGATCCGGGTCCGCCTCCTTTTTCCATTTCGCCCCCACTTCCGTTAGGCCGTAATCAGTGGATTAGCGGTAGACTGGTAGTCAGAAAGGGAGAAAGAGTGGGGAGAAGCGAGAGAAATAGAGAAGATACCCCGAGGGCAAGTAGAAACACACCCACGCTAAAATATAGGAGAGACAGGCTGATAGAGAAACGTCATAACAGATAAAAAGAAGAAACGGCTAAAAATAAAGCGAACGCATGACGGTGAAGCGAGGATAAAAATTCCGTATACTTCGAACAAACGGCTTTTCAAGAAGGAAAGGCTAAGTTAAGTTTCAAGAGTTCTCGAGTTTAGGAAAAGCCTAACTGGTTGCCAGTTAATGCATTAATAAGTCTCTAGGGCCTACTGAAGTAAATTTTATTAATTTAGTGTCTTTTACAGTTTCTGCACAGTAGGTAAAAAGCAACCAGCTTTGCATTTGGCCTCTTGGAATTTGGTAAATTCAATTAAAATTTTATTTAACGGGTAGATCTTCCAGTATTGAACCATAAACTAACCAAAAAATTAAAAAATAAAATAAATTTTAGGAAAAATTTTGCACTTTCATGCATTACGCAACATAATTCACACGTGTTTCTCAACGCCAAAAACCCGCAACGAAAACTGAAAATAAAAAATCATTTAACGCAATTTTGCGAACCGACGAATGTCATGATTTTAGCAGACATGCCAAAAACCCCAAAAACGATAAAAGCATCAAAAACTTTTTCTAGCTAGGATTTCAATGGATTACGCAACCTAATTCACTCTTTTCTAACATCAAAAAGAAGCAAATAAGCCTGAAAATGGGGAAAATGGCATCATTTATAGCAATTTGTCGGAATGAATCGAGTTGTTTTGAATTTAGCATACATGCCAAAAATCAGCACGCCTTGAGTCATTTTATTTCTCAAGGAAAGGAATGGCGTTCCAGTTGACAGTTGGGATGTGAATTCCGATAGTCTGTCGACCAGTCAAAGTATTCTCTCCCGAAAAAGGGCAACATTCGCCGCCAATAGCTTCTCGTCATAAAATGAAACGGAATGGAAGGATTGTCCCGCAAAAGCCGGAATAACAAGGGTGTTTCGGTGAAAAACTTAAAGTCTAGTTTCGAATTTTGGTAGATTTGCTTTGTTCTCTCGCGATAAAGATGACTCATTGTATTTACATATTTTATAATTTCGCCTAGTACGCTTAAAAATTTGAGAAAAGCGCGAAAACACAAAAATTTCCATTTTCGATTTTTGCGTTTGTTGCATTTTCGAAAATGCCGAAATTGCGATAAAATCCAATTTTTGTTTTTGAATTAGATTGGCGGTAATTCGTCCTTCAAACAACAGAGATGCAAAATACAAAACTACTTAAATTATTTTTAATTATTACGTTGAGATTTTGCGTTTTTGGCATTTTCAAATTATTCAAAACATTATGGTAGTTCGAAATTGCGATTTTGTTAATAATTTAAAAAGCTAAAACAATATGAAAATGCTCTAAAAAGCCTGTGCGCGTCACTTCCCCGCCTAATACGTGGTCGGGCTGGCAATATTTATTTTGCATCCGCGATGGTGAATTCCAGGATTTCGGGCATAATTTCTGGGTAAACCGGGTTATTTGTCTGTCAGTCTATAGGTTCGTTCTGTTTTTCTGTCCATCTGCCACCCAAACCACCCATTTATTTGTCCTGGAAATTTATTGGGTGACTGGAAGCCACAGATCCATAGTCAAGCTGGCAGCCGTTCATCCACAAAACAGCCAATTTTTTGGGGCGGCACCGATCCGAAAAAATCTGAAAAGAAAAAAACTGGAAAAAGCATTGGCAAAAAGTCGATGCAAATTTCAAATAAAATTTTGATTAGATTCAGTTTAATCGGCCAAAAATTAAATAAAAAAGTCTCGTTTGAATGTGCAGCCCATCAACTTTGATCAGCTCGTATTTCTAATTTCTCGGCCGGACCCCTTCAATTATGGGCAACCACGCGAGTACCTTCTCCTCATCACGCGTCCAATAATTTAGAAATATTTCGCGTGCTCGCATCTCAGTTGGGAGATCTCCGATTTGTTTTTCGAAAATAATACTGTTTACGGTAGTGTGGGATAGGAGCAATTGTTGCGTCCGTAGACTTTTGATGGTTGCGTCAAGACCCCACGAATTGCCACCCATATTCACATCAGAATTCGAGCCGTAGCGGTACCAGACTTCACCGGGAACCCGAATATCCCTCGATTGCTCCGTCAGTTCCCAGAGGCATTTTGATGCCCTCGCGTGTCGGAATCGTGTCTTCGGGGTCAGCACTCCCGATTGAGAAGACGTTCGTGGAATGGCACTGGAAGATTGAGAAAGTTGCGAGGAATTGATGATTCATCCATTCGAGCAGGATTGCTAAAAATTGCGATAAAAATAGTTTAAATAAAGGAAGGCACATGGGTAGATTGGGGAACGTCAACCAAAAAACCAAATGCGACATTATCATTTCTAACAAAAAATGCCGAAATTCATAATTTCGAAAGTTTTCAAAAAGAGCGAAAAGGGATTTTTCAGAATTTAAAAATTTCTAATGTCAGCATTTCATAATGTCGAAATTTAATATAGTCCATTTTTCGACAAAGCCTAAAAATTTTTTGACATTTCGAGTTTAGAGCTGATGAATTTTCGAATTTAAAAAAGGCTGAAAACATTAAAGCTGCGCACCCAAAAAAAACCCCGCTTAAAACCTACCACAGAACCCCCAAAAAAGTAATAAAAATTCTTTTTTTAATGCTTTAAAGAGGAATTGAGGCGAAGTGGATTGAGATTTTAAAGCTGGAAGCTGCACACAGAAGCTGATAACCCCGTAATATAGTGGCGATTGTCGTCATTCTTATGTGAAGGTGCTCACGTTTTCTTTCGGATAACACCCATCTATTTTTGATCTATTCTCGTAAAAGGCCTAAAATTGCATCATTTATCTCGGCGCCACGAGCAATGCTTCAGCCCCGAAAATGTGGCGCCGAGGAGTGAAACGTTTTGAAATGAGCGCTCGAGCTATTCTAAAACCAGTGGAAAAAGACCGCTTCGCGGCCCTTTTCCACTGGACCCCGTCTAGGAATCATGAATTCCTTTTCCTTTTCTCGAAGCCTGCGGCGCAAGAGCCTGACTCAAGGAACCATTCTTTGGCCTGCGGCGCCAGAGCCAGCGCTGGGCCAGAATCTTTGAGCCTGCGGCGCTAGCTACTGGTTTTTCTCCAGGATTTGGCCTGCGGCGCGAGAGCCTGGGTTAGGGACCCATCGTTGGCCTGCGGCGCCAGAGCCTGGGCCAAGTACCTTTTCTTTGGCCTCCGGCGCTAGAGCCAGGGCCCGGTCCTAAAACTCGCACACCGAGAGCAGAAGTATGTTTTGTTGTTTCATACCAAAAAGCAAAAAAGTTAAATTTCCTGCGGATTCGAACCCTGATCACGCGTTTGTTAGACCGGGCGCCAATCCAATACACCAAGGGGAGGCGGCGATTGATAGCGGGAAAGGCCTCTTGTGTCCTGGGGGCGCGACTCATCCCGGGAGAGAGGACTTCTGATAACTTTACAAAATTCTCTTTTTGATTCTGAATGCGCCGAAAATTTGTAAAAAAGATCAGATGCGCGTGATCCCCACTATCGAATACATAAGTAGACCAAATTACAGCCCAAAATTCCATCTGGGATTCCAGTTATGGCCCGGACACCACGGGACTGTGGCCATTTTATTAAGGACCTCCTAGTAAATTGCTCATAAAAACTTTATTTTAAGGAATTTGGCAAAATCCAAAAAATAGTATCGGGAGAATTGCTTTTACCACACACCCTCCAAAAATCAGAGCCCAGCTCCTCATGGCGACCGAGCAAACCTCCGGACATACCTTTTTTTGGGCAAAATGTTAAGGATTTTTCACTATTTTGCTTGTAAAATCGTTAAATGAAGGAATTTCGCCAAACAAAAAAATGCGTCACTGGCAAAGGTGTTTCTCTACTTGCATGCCAAAAATCAGCCCGAAATTCGGCCTGGCGGCCGAGAAATCGGCTGAACAGAAAACAGACATACTTTTCTCGCTTATAGGATAGGATTCATAAAAACCGTGAAAAAAACCCGGTGTCATGCAGTTATTTAGTTCAGGAATTTGGACGACCAAAAAAAATCCCGAAACCTATCCCTCTTCGGCCAGTTTCCATTTTGTGGCAAATCCTGTTGCCATTTCGTGCTTCGAGCATTCGAAATTCGACGTTAAATATCATCACACTGTGATGACTTTGCTATTTAGACAGCCCTTATCGGATGCCGTTATCCAAGCGGGCGCTTCAGCTGACCCGCCTTTTTTATCGATTTCCTGGCCGGGACAGATTTCTAACTGCATCCGTGTCAAAATTGCTGCTAAAAGCACTGTTTTTAATTTTTCTCTCATAGATTTTCTTGATATTCTTCTCTCTTTGAGAATTTCTTGATGTACAGGGTGTCCCAATAAATAGCCCCTCTAACTCGAAGCAGAAGTATCCGAACGAAAAGGCAGTCAAGCCTTTTGAAAACCCCTAAAACGGCGAGTTTGCATTGAATTTCATCACCTGGTTTTATTTAAATGCGCCTATTTATAACTATTTGAAAACCTTTAGAAACGCCACCTGTATCTAATTAACGGCTACTTCCGGTCACTTTGCTTGAGTGATTGAGGAAAATCGGCCAG